CCAAAATACATTGCCTGTATACACTGAGAAATGGATAAAAATATTCTATTTTAAAATGGGGTGTAATCAGTTATGCTGAGCACTGTATATCACTTTAAATTGTTAAAAATGTTGATAAAAAACATTGTCTTATCTTTTATGTTAAACTTTTAAGGTTAAAAGTGTTGGAAGAAAGATCAAAACCCCATAATGTAATACAAAAGCATAAATAAATGGGCAAAATTAAAACATACATCACAAAATACGGAAAGCTGGTAATTTATTTATTTTATTAATTTAATTTCTGGGTTCCACTAAATCGATGTGTGTTGGGACAACATGAAGGAAATAAGTAAACTTATTCATTTTTACAAATGTATGTAATTTGTACATTAAACGATTCAGTTAAAAAAAACTCAAGAATTAGGTTGTTTGAACTTATTTTAAATAAGTAGTTTGAACAAACAACAAACGTTATTTATATATGTATATAGAAACAGAACAGTAATGAAAATGTTTATTAAATAAACACAGATTCGGTAAGCAGAAGTGACCACTTGGGGAACATCAAAATATATTTGTATACGTACATTTGGAAGTATTTATTTTCCTGTTTATATATATATATATGTATGCATGTATGTATGCATGTATGCATGTTTGTTTGTTTGAGTGTTTGAACACAACAGGTAAAGTACATCCAGGCAGTTGTTAAAGCAGTATGCATGCATGTATGTACTGTATGTATGTATGTATGTATGTATGTAAGTATGCAAGGAATAAAGTGCATCCAGGCAGTACATCCAACAGCTTATCGGCAGCTCAACACAAAACAGAGTATTTTGTGAAAACAACTGTCTGAATGTACTTTATCCCACTTATTACATGATTACATGACAAAAAATAAATCTTGCCACAAAACATTGTTTTGAGCCATAATTGTTTATTAATTACTAATTGTTAAAAGGCAGCTAAAGAAAATAAGAAAAAATATATATAAATTATATTTGTGTTAATGTTGTTCAAATAATGATATTTTTAGTATAATTATTATATAATTAATAAGGCCTTAAATAATCATAATAATAGTAGTAGTAGAAGCAGCAGTAGTAGTGGTAGCTGGCTTTCTGCAACTCTTACATGGTCGGTCGTCCACTGAAGCTTAGCAGGGCTGCGCCCGGTCAGTACCTGGATGGGAGACCACATGGGAAAACTATGTTACTGCCGGAAATGGTGTTAGTGAGGCCAGTAGGGGGCGCTCAACTTGCAGTCTGTTTGGGTACACCCAAGTGTGCCGCAAGCCTGCGTTTGAGTGAAGGTCTCGGCCGTTAGATCGCCCCCTGGGGGCTGGCTGCAGTACAAGTCATAAAGCCCGCCTCCTCCGTGTTAATGAAGGAGACTTGAGCCCAAATAAAAAAATGTATTACACTTGCAATAAAATGTCCCAAAAGATGGTTCTGGTCGATTAAGGCACTGGTTATTGTGCTGAAATAGGTGCAGATCTTCATTTTTGTAAACAGTTTGTTTTTAGCAGTAATTAAATGCTGGGCGTGTCATCGTGATTGACAGCTGTGATTGACAGTTTCTCAAAGCAGCGCGTCTGAGCTTCGGCAGAAGACTGAAGTGTTATTTTTCGATTTCTGTGTTATTTTACCATGACAAAATGAGTTCAGCAGTAAACTATAGTTTCTGACATACATGATCCTGGTGGAACACTGTTTATTCGCTAAGGTTTTTTCGGGCGTTATTAGTTTGCTGATACACGCCTAGCCACCCAGATAGCAAAATACACTCGAGCCAGTTCCAGCTAGATTCTAGCCTGCCGGAGACTTACCCCTCTGAGCTCAGACTGACTACCTCTGCTGGTCCTACTCCGGATGCCTGGACTCACTGCCCGTCCGATTCCAGCCCGAGTCAATCGAGCCAGATGCGGCGGCCGAGCGAGCCGGCGCTGCCGCATGCGAGCCGGAATCAGCCCGCGACGCCGCGAGTAGGATATGTGCGCTGCGGCCCAGAGCTTGCGCGATTAAATATATAAAACCCTCATATTTGTTAACGTTATTACATCCATTTGTGTTGATATGACAAGGGAAGCTCGACTCCGCTCATTATCGCGGCTCCTCCTCTGGCTCCATCAGACAGTCCTTCTGCGCATGTCAAGGCTCCAATTTCAGCAGTCTTTTGCGACAGTTTGTGCCCGTCAAGCAGGCGTTTTGCCCTCAAGGTGTTCAATGGGAAAAGGGGCTGTCGTGTCGTCCATATTTTTTACAGTCATTGGGTACACCCCAGTATATTGATGGGGACTATACTGCTTAGTGAGCTATGTTAAACTGAGGTCCTGACTCCCTATTATTAAGAATTGGAAAATTCTGAAATGAAATACTTAAAATGTTGAATAATTGTAGACTCTTTTATTTTTTTTGTGGTTTTCATACGGGAGGCCAATAGAAAGCTTTTGATGTGCTTTAATTCAGTCGCTCCAGAGGCAGGGTAAATATTTCATAACCTTCCTCAAATATTGATCAAGCTTTTATTCACGGCTCGTTTACTGCATGGGAATTTTGGTGAAGGGAAATTTGTATTTTCAAAGTTTTTTTTAAGAGCTCCTCGCTAGTTTTCCCAGCAGTGAGACGGAGTAAAATTCATGCAAATTATCTGTAAATATTGTCCTACTTAGGGATTAAGTTCACTCGAGCAATCCGTGAAGGAATGAAGAGCACAAGCGCTGTAGTTGTCAGTCTTCCAGCTCCTTTCTAAAAACACGGCGGTCACAAAAAGCCGGACCCCAGCAGGAAGTGCATATGTATTGGCTCACCCCAGGTGGAGGCTTATTGTCTGTTCCTTTAAAGATTTGAATTTAAATGGCTGGCTCTGCAGCTGCTCTCTCTCCCAGCATGCACTGGGCCCCTTTAGGGCACAAAAGCGTCCTTGGAGCTGCCAAACTGGCCTGTAATCCTGCTGAAGGGGCGTCAGGTTACTGTACCCACACAACTTCATGCCTGTCTTTTTACACCTTGAGACGCTGGGAGGCAGTGGTTAGATTCACTACAGTCGTCTTGAGAAAGGCGTTAAAGGGATAGTTCATGCAGAACAGATCTTTTAGTCACCAATTACTCAGCCTTCGTTGGATCTAAACCTTTTTCTTATGAATCATCTGTTGATCTGCATCCCAATCATCACAAATACTGCAGAAGAACTATTGTAACCCGCATTGACCCAACATTCTCACAGATATCAGTCAAGTTGATGAAGGAAAAATCATGGTTTGGGGTTACATTCAGTATGGGGGCGTGTGAGAGATCTGCAGAGTGGATGGCAACATCAACAGCCTGAGCTATCAAGACAATTGTGCTGGCCATAACATTACAAACCACAGGAGAGAGCAAATTCTTCAGCAGGATAGCGCTCCTTCTCATACTTCAGCCTCCACATCAAAGCTCCTGAAAGCAAAGGTCAAGGTGCTCCAGGATTGGCCAGCCCAGTCACCAGATATGAACATTATTGAGCACGTCTGGGGTAAGATGAAGGCATTGAAGATGAATTCAAAGGATCTTGATGACCTCTGGGAGTCCTGCGAGAACGCTTTCTTTGCCATTCCAGATGACTTTACTAAAAAGTGATTTGAGTCATTGCAGAGATGTATGGATGCAGTCCTCCAAGCTCATGGGAGTCAGACACAATATTAACTCTTTCTCCACTGCACCATGACTTTATATTCTATACTCTACAATATATCTGTTCAGTGATAAGACTTTTGTTTAAGAAAAGTCAGACTTTACTGTCCTAATTACATTATGAAAAATCAAGGCATGATCATATTTTATTTTGGTAAAATAAGCGTAATCTAGAGGCCTTTGGCTTTCATAAAAGCCAATTCTGATAGCAAACGATTTACTAAAAGTCAAGATATTATTTGTTTTTCCTAGAACTTGGCATAGGTGACAAGACTCTTGTCAGGTTAGGTAGTGTATTGTTGGAAACTGCTAGCCATTGAAATCCATATATATATATATATATATATATATATATATATATATAAAACACTTTAGAAGTTAATGGTTGTCAGTCACATGCATACCTCATTCTGTTTTTTATGTTCAACGCAAGAAAGAAATGCAAACATGTTTAAAACCCTTTTTTGGGTGAGCTTCAGCCATTCCTTTGCACCTGCTTTGAATTTTATCATCAATCATTAATTGAATGGGCGTTATCAGTGGTCATCAGCTGATAGTTATGAGCCAGTAGGGGCCTTCTAGTGCCTACTAGATGGCGCAGACAGCTGTTATCATCCATCCACATGGTCAATCAGCTATACTAGTAGACTCCAGATTCAGATCTGTTTTCACATTACTGTGATGGTTGGGTTTAGGGTTGGGGTAGACGTTAATATAATACAATTAATGGGAAATTTAATAAATATTATAAATTATTCTTGTTAACTTACGGCCGCAGCCGTATGCGATCTGTAGTTGATTAACCATGTGGATGGATGAATAAGGAAGACCTTTTTAGAGCAATCATTGGTTGCACTGATCATTTTTTCCTGTCCTTAAAATTGCATCATGCACCATTGCCCTTTTGTCCATGCTCTAGATCAGGGATGAGCAAACTCAGTCCTGGAAGTCCACTGTCCTTCAAAGTTTAGCTCCAACCTTACTGAAACACTCCTGCCTATAGCATGCATATCAGTGTAGCCGTAAGATGCACAAACTTTCTTCTCCAATTTTGTTTGAAACTCTTTTCATTTAATGAAGAAATGTCTTAAATAAAACTCTAAATGTTAACTTCTTGTTTTGTTGAACTGAAGTAAATGCTCAAGACATGTTTTTCCAAATTGAGTGATTTTAATGTTCTTCCACTATCACACTTAAATGTAATCCAAACTATTGCCAGTTGGACCGTTGGGGTTCATTTCCCCCTCCAAACCGCTGCCAGAACAAAGCGGTGTGTTTTTACAAGATCTGTGGTGAATGTTCTGGGCGCTTGGCACTAACTGACTGTCTTTTGTGTGTCTCCACCAGCCCTTTCACCCCATGGTGAACCTGCAGTGCTCTCCAGACCTCAGGCCGTTCCTGTGTGCGCTTTATGCCCCGGTGTGTATGGAGTACGGACGTGTATCTCTGCCCTGCCGGAGCCTCTGTCACCACGCCAAGAGAGACTGCCAGAAGCTCATGGATATGTTTGGGGTGACCTGGCCAGAGGAGATGGAGTGCACCAGGTACTGATTCAAGCCAACATTTTAGATAGTGTTGGAGAAACGGTACATGTACATTACTCAGTGTGTCTGCTGTAATTATCAAATAATTGAAGACAGTAAAGTGTGCTACAATGGTTGAGCCATTTTTCTTTTTTTTTCTTTCTTAGTTTTTGGTGTTTTAACTAAACGCAGATGTTCAAGGGAAACCTTTAATCTCCAATGAAAAACAACCTCTCAGATAAGGAAAGATGTGCACAATTCAAACCAGCTTAAAATAAGTCTGCAACATATTTCAGTTAAATGTTTGCAGCAGTGAAGTAGCCTGCGGTAATAAGGAAGAATATTTTCAAAAGCAGTGGTCATCAGACTTGCAGGTGTTTTTATTACTGCTGAGTTGGAGTGTAACAAAAGTTTCAGTAATATTTGTTGCAATAATTATTTCTTGTGTTTTTTTTTGTGCAAAACGCACCTGAATTGCTTTTTCAAACACTATGTTCTAGCCATGAAAAGAGGAAGGGCATGTTGAAAAAGTTGTGTGAAACTAATCCTTTTCTAGGTCTGCCCTTCTTAGTTACTCTTACTAATGCTGTTTGATTCAGAATATGACATAGAAATATCCTGTCGGTATGTTATTTGAGCAAACTTTCAGGTGAGCATGTCCATTTCAGAGTCCTTCTCAGATTGTCATTTTGATGGCTTGGTTGGAATATGCTTAGCAATCTAGCGATCCAAATATGCTTTAGCAATCGCCACACCATCCATACAGCCACCACAAAACCAGACCTTATAACAAAAAATAATGTTTACTACTGTTTCAAAATCAATTTTTTTTGTTTCATTTGTAATAAAAATACATAAAAGCAATTTTTTGGTTCATTTTTAAATCAAAGCAACTCAAATTTAAGTCAATCATATTTCAGTCACCAAAAAAACTGTTAATGAAACAGATGAGGCAGAATTGTTCAGTTATTTACTGTAAATAACAAACAAAAACAAAACCAAACAAAACAAAATACCAAACAAAAACAAACTATAGTATTTAACAGCAAAACCAGGTGTTACACCATTAAGATACTACAGTAATTTATAGTAAAGTTAAATATTTAATAATGAGCATTATATTGTGTGTGTGTGTGTATATGTGTATGCGTATATGTATGTATGTGTGTGTATATATATATATATATATATATATATATATATATATATATATATATATATATATATATATATATAGTTTTTTGTTTTTTTGTTTTTTGCAACTCTTCATTAACGTATTACACTGAACTAATGAACTAATATTAACATGAACTAATAGTAATTACCATGGTATACTTCAGCCTTTACTACAGTAAACTATAAATATAGGCCACCTCTCCCTCAGTCATCTTTCCATCAAGCAAATTTCTTGTGTTAGCCTAATTGGTTGGTGACGTCACCAAGCAGAGCGAGAGGTGGCAGTAACGCACCAAAAAATGGTTGTCGACCACTGTATAACAGGAAGAAGAAGAAATCGTCATTCTCTCCATGATGGATTTACTTTCATCGGCTAGACACCAGCCTCACAGCTCTGTAAATGTTGGTGCCGTCACTTATTGATCCGAGATCGGTAAATGTAGCTTGTGTTGATGCTACTGTGCTACTTGACAAAAAAAAAATAGCTTCGCTACTGAAAAGCTATTTGATTTATAAAATAGCGAGGCTACCTCCACGCTACTGAGAAATGTAGTTAAGCTAGTAACGTCACTGCTTGTAGCTTCATTGTTGTAGCTTAATGCTTTTAGTGGCAGAGTGGATTAATGTAACTGGTAGACGTTGTCAAACTGGAAAACCAATCAAAAACATCAGAATAGCACCGCTTTTATAAATGGCCCCAGCAGAAGGCATCATGCGTATCAAAAACAGGCACGGCAGCAGATTAATATTATTCAACATATTTCTATGTAACCCCATTTGTAATCTTTAACATTCTCATAAGTAACTGTAATTAATTGCACTTTTTTTTTTTGTAACTGTAACGAATTACTGTTACTTTTATTTTGTAATTAAATTACTGAACGCCGTTACATGTAACTAGTTACTCCCCAACACTGGTTGTGTGCAAGCTTTATATATTTATAACCACCTCAGAGAATATTGGGGGTCACGACTCACTGGCACTGTTATTTTGGGGATCGTGGGCTGAAAAATTTGGGAACCCTTGCTCTAAGGGATGGGCAAAAGCGCTCTTGGAAGGCCGGTGTCCTACAAAGTTTAGCTCCAGTTTAGATCCTGCCGATAGCTTTCTAGTGATCTTGAAGACACTAATTAGCATTTTCAGGTGTGTTGTATTGGCATTTTCATTAGTGTTGGAGCAAAACTCTCCAGGACACCAGCCCTTCAGGAGTGAGTTTGCCCATTTCTGCTCTACTGTATATCTATAAAATGTACAGTTACTCACAGTCAAAGTCAAAATCCTTGTGAAATATTTCTTCTTTTTCAAATATTTCTCAAGTGATATTTAATGAAGCAAAGAAATTTTCACAGTGCTTCAATCATATTTTTTCTTCTAAAGAAAGTCTTATTTGTTTTATTTCCGCTAGAATAAAAGCAGTTTTTAACTTTTTTTTAAACCATTTGAAGATCTATATGATTTGCCTCCTTGGGTAATATTTTTTTCAATAGTCTACAGCAATGGTTCTCAAAGTGGGGGTCGGGACCCCCCGAGGGGTCGCGGGACAATGAAGGGGGGTCGCTTGGTGATTTTCAAAAATCAATTTATTTTTATAAACCATAAGAATTACCATATTTTATCCATAACCTACTGAAGAGAAAAAATAGTCGTTTATACCATATACTGTAGTTACTATAGTAGCTTATAGTTACTACTTCTATTGGATTGCAACCCCTGGGGTAATTACATTATATTAAAGACACAGCAATAGTATCAGATGCAGCAGATTTCATAACACCTGGTAAAACTTTGTTGCCCATTTACAACTCTCATACATAAAAAAAATAAAAGAAGAATAGACTTGGGTCCATTGGTGTGTGTGCTCCATTGCATGCAAGGTTTCTGTATTTATAACCACCTCAGAATATATTGGGGGTCGCGACTCACTGGCATTGTCATTTTGGGGGTCGCGGCCTGAAAAGTTTGGGAACCCCTGGTCTACAGAACAAACCACTGTTATACAATGACTTCCCTAATTACCTTAACTTCCCTAATTAACTTCCCTAAGCCTTTAAATGTCACTTTAAGCTGTATAGAAGTGTCTTGAAAAATATTTAGTTAAATATTATTTACTGTCATTATGGCAAAGATAAAATAACTCAGTTATTAGAGATGAGTTATTAAAACTATTATGTTTAGAAATGTGTTGGAAAAGTCTTCTCTCCGTTAAACAGAAAAAAAATATACAGGGGGGTTACTAGTTCCAAAATTTTGACTTCAACTGTATGTGTTTATCTTGTGACCGCAGGTTCCCCGACTGTGATGAGTCTTACCCTCGCGCTGAGGATCTCCTGGTGATTGATGACCCCACTGACCAATCCCCCATGTCTGTCCAGCGAGACTATGGTTTCTGGTGTCCCCGCGAACTCAAAATGGAACCCGACCTCGGCTACACGTTTCTCGGCGTCCGCGACTGCTCTCCTCCCTGTCCCAACATGTACTTCCGGCGCGAGGAGCTGACCTTCGCCCGCTACTTCATCGGTGTGGTGTCAATTGTCTGCCTGTCTGCCACGCTCTTCACCTTTCTCACCTTCCTCATCGATGTCACACGCTTTCGCTACCCGGAGCGGCCAATCATCTTCTACGCCGTCTGCTACATGATGGTTTCCCTGGTGTTTTTTCTCGGCTTTCTATTGGAGGATCGCGTGGCTTGCAATTCCGCCAATCCCGGACAATACAAAACATCCACTGTGACTCAAGGCTCGCATAATAAGGCCTGCACGCTGCTTTTCATGGTGTTGTACTTCTTTACGATGGCCGGAAGTGTGTGGTGGGTCATTCTCACCATCACTTGGTTTTTAGCGGCAGTTCCCAAATGGGGCAGTGAAGCCATCGAGAAGAAGGCTTTGCTTTTTCATGCTAGTGCATGGGGAATTCCGGGCATGCTAACCATCGCGCTGCTGGCTCTGAATAAAATCGAGGGCGATAACATCAGTGGTGTGTGTTTTGTGGGTGTGTATGACGTTCAGACGCTGCGCTGGTTTGTTCTGGCTCCGCTGTGTTTGGATGTGCTGGTCGGGGTGTCTCTGCTTCTGGCCGGGATCGTGGCGCTCAACAGAGTCCGCATGGAGATTCCTTTGGAGAAGGAGAACCAGGAGAAGCTGGTGAAGTTCATGATTCGGATCGGTGTGTTCTCCGTGTTGTATCTGGTGCCTCTGCTGACCGTGGTGGGGTGTTACCTGTATGAACAGACGTACCGCTCTGTTTGGGAGACCACGTGGGTGCAGGAGCGCTGCAGAGAGTACCATATACCCTGCCCGTTCAAGGTAAAAATCTGTTTAAAAATGTCATTCTGCTGCTTTATGGGGATTAAAAGGGGTGGGCCAATGCTAATTTGCATAGACCTATTTACACTAGGGCTGCATGATACTGGAAAATATGCAATGTTGTTGTTAAGTGATGTGATAACGAAATTTATTCGAATATAACTATCCTGCAAAGCTTTATTTTCTCAGCAATTTAAAAAATCAGCAACATAAAAATAATTATTATTTATGTTAGAATCAGTAGGCTTGTGAGGATGAGGAAATTTCCCCACGGGTTAATCAACATGTGACAACACCAGTAAAATGGGTATCACCATGGCGGTGGGGGTTTCCCCTTTTTTCTGTTTTTAAATAGCTTATAAATGTGTGTATTATACTTTCACTTTCAGTTTTGGGGGAATTGCCAACACGCGCTGCATATAGGCGCTATACACACTACACAGCACACACTGGCAAGATGACAAGTGCTGAACTCCACGGGACCAGTTTTATTTGTTTTGTTATTTGCGTGTTGAAAAACACCTTTAATTTATAAGATCTCTGGAGTTAATATTGGCTATCTGGTAACATAATCTCCCTCAGAGATATTGAAGTTCAATGACGTGGTGCACAGTATGACTACTGACCAGCACCTCCCTGTAAGTTTACTGCATAGACTACAGCTCTGGTGTGTTATGAATTGCATGTTTTAAATGACAGCGAGACATGCTACATTTAGTTTTTATTGTAAAATATACATTATAACCCAGTACACAGTAAATAATATGTTTTGAATGGTTTGTCTATAGGGGGCGTATATAGCCATTAAGCTTAAATAGGCTGAGCATATTTTTATTAATCATAAAACACATTAATACAAACTAGCCACCCTTTGATTTTTTTTTCGTTTCTGTTTATTTTTAATCAAACGAAAAATGAATTGTTTATTTAGGTTTTCATTTTATTACAATTAAAATAATTATTAGGCGACACAACTTCTACATAACATTGGCTCTGATTGCTTTTTGACAGATATTCTACACAGACTTTTTGGCTCAGACGTTTATGCCTGTTCATTTCAGTGCTGTATTTTAACAGATTTCACAAAGGCTTCAGCTACTCTACCTGTCAGCTGGTACCAGCCTCAGCTTTGCGACTTGTGTGGCATCTGTATCAATGTCTGGCTGACAGCAAGAGAGAGGGATGAGATCAGAACTCAGATTTGATGTGTGGCCGCATGTCACAGTCACTTTACTGCAATTTTTTAATACTGGCTCATCTAAATTAACTTTTCATTTTATTAAAAGCCGAAATATTGCCAGACAGGCGAAGCAACTTTGGGGTTTTAAAGAGAGCGGCTTCAGTGATAGAATACACACACACACACACACACACACACACACACACACACACACACACACAGGATACACTCTTGTCAGCCTATTCATTATTGATTTTTTTAACATTAAAAGCATAATAATCAAATGCTAAAAATAACAGCTGAACTTCGGAAAAAGTGATCAATGCGGTTACCGTGATGGTTTCTTTGTTTCTCTGCAGTTGGCTTATTAATGTCGCGGCATTGCTAAATCACCCGTTTTAATAAAAAATAAGATTATTTATTATTAAAAATTGTGAGATGATGGTCGTGTGATTTTTAAAATGAGAGTATATTTATTTCTATTGATCTTATCTACCCACAACCCACCCGTAGTTAAACATCAAGTAGGTGCGTTGAAGGTGCGTTTATAAATTAGTTGTGTTTCCTCCAGATGCTGTCACCTTTGTTAGGCAAAGTTTGCAGATTGCCTTATTAATGTTTTCAGGTTCTCTTTTTGCATTGCGTTTTGACACTAAATCGTCCGCCATTCTCTTTCTGTAAATTCTCCTCCTCCCTTTCTCCTTACGTGATAAATGAAATATGAGGCATTGTAGCTATGTTCAGATTTTAATTATAGTACATGCTCGTCTTAAGTAAATTATTTAGAATTATATTTTCCATTTAATTCAAATAAGTATATTATAAAAAATTAATACTTAAAAAACAAACATGGGGACAGCGTCACAGTGGAAAAGTGATGTCGCTGGTGTTGCAACTTAAAACCGGTTACACCGTCTCAACACCGTCTACCATGGCAAGCCTAATGATCATACTAAAACAGGTAACGTTTTTTTTTCTGAGAAACGTGCAAACATTTAGGGCCCTATCATACTGTACACCTGGTGCAATGAGGCGCAAGACGTGTTTGACACGATTTGTTGCTTTTTTTCAGACCAGTGGAACCCTAATTTTCATGTTTTGTGCCACGTTGTTTAAATAGTAAATCCATTTGTGCCACTTTGGGGACTCATAGGTGTGCCAGTCTGTAAAGAGGTGTGTTAGGGTGCATTGTTGGCACATTGCTAGTTTGAGAAAGTGAAATTATGACCAACTAAAAGCAGGTCTAACTTCCTGTCCGCCATGTAAATAGCAAATGCAACATGGCATGACTCAACTGACTCTTAAAGATAATGGGAGATGAGACTCTGATTGGTTTAATGCACGTTATTCTCAAAGCATATTTGTAACTCATTAAGAGAATAAGCACAACCCTGTTAGACCATGCACCGGAGCACAGAGCATATTTTTCCGTCATTAAAATAGCGAAAGTGGATTCGGCCATGCACTTTAGACTCGTCAAAATCGAGCCCCCTAGCCTTTAAAACACCACAAATGACTGAAAACCTTCAACTCTAGGATCAGCTTACAGCATCTACTGGAGAAGTGGGAATGAAGATAGTAAGTGGCCCATCTGATTTGGATAAACACCTTATTCATAAAGCACACAAATGAATTTATTTTATCACACTTTTCTGTTATTTGCTATGGAAATTGCTTATATTTTTTCGAAAACAATCATTTTTCTTTTTTTTAATTGTGCCTCCTTTATTTACAGTTAAAGAGTTGTACTCATGCATGGGTCAAGATTCAAAATATTTGGACAAAACATACTGTTCGATGGTAATGAATTTTACATATCTTGTTTTGGGCCAGGCAATCTATTGCGTTACAGAGTGGAAATTTTTGCCAGTATTCATTTATCATCAAGAAGTAACATTATTTCACCTATATTTAAATATTTTATTTTATTTATTTTTAAATTAGATTATTGTAATTTGATAGATTTTATGTATTTATAGCATTTTTATTGTTTCCTTTTTTGGTCAGTAATATTGTAAATAAGTGATATTATTAAATATTATTACAATTGAAAAGTACCATTTCCTATTAATACATGTACAAACAAAATAAAGTATATTAATAAGTGTAGTTTATATTATATATTATTATTATTGCTTAAAATATACATTATACATCATTACTGTCACTTTTGCTCAGTTATATGCATCCTTGCCAAATATATATATTTTACTTATTTTTGTCTTTAGATTACAGTAACTCAGGTGCACTCTGGATGATCGCAAGCATTATCTCTTAAGCCTCAAATGATTTAATAACACCATTAAATGTAATCTTTAGCAAATCTTAATAATTACCTATTTTTGATATCCATCATCTATAATACTGTACATTTATAATGGTGCATGACTAAATTCAGTTGTAGCCGTTGATAATGACAGAGTCCACTTTGCAGAAACTTAAGTAAATAAATAAATGAATACAAAATGTAATAAATAGGCATTTGTTAGCTATAGCGTGAAAATAAGTTTCTATTTATTGCTATTGGCAAGAATTTTAGGAGAAAAAAAGGTTATTTTCATATTAAAAATAACTTATAACAACTTTGTGTGTTTTGCACCTTGAAGTTTGTGTGTGTGTGTGTGTGTGTGTGTGTGTGTGTGTGTGTGCGTGTGTGTGTACATGTTTTTGTGACATATCAGGACACAAATCTGTAAAATGACATGGGTATGACAGGTATTACAAAAAGGAGGTGAAATATGAGGACATTGGTGACGTCCTCATTTCTCAAAAAGCTTATATCCCACAGAAATATCTTTTTCAGAGTAAATCTGCACACAGTCTTCTGTGATGGTTGGGTTTAGGGGTAGGGTGGGTGAGGGCAATACAATATACGTTTTGAACAGTATAAAATGAATGCAAACCTATGTAGTGTACCCACTTTTCACAAAAACAAACACGCGCGTGTGTGCGCGTGTGTACGCGTGTGTGTGTGTGTGTGTTATTTGATTTAAATAGATCAGACATGTTTTGTTACTTGTTTATTTCAGTATGATCATTGGATAAATAAGGTAAATAATTAAAAAAAACTAATATAAATAGTATAGGGAAATGTTAAATTGGAAGAAATCTCATTATTACAGCAACAGTACTGCATACAGTATGTAGCTCTAATTTGTTGGATTGATATACTAGCTTGATTGGACCGACTGGATAGAGATTGTAGAAACATCTCAAGCTTCTGCAAGAGGCACGTTTGTAGAAAATCTCCAGCGTGAGGCTTGTTTTGTGCAGGCAGTGAATGGCGTGTGTGATTGTATCCAGCGCAGTGATGCATGAGGCATTTTTATTACAGTGTAAGTGAATCCGCTCGGCCTCTCCTTCCACACAATAATACTGGTCACGTGATGCAGTAATTCTGTTTCTGCCTCCGGCGTTCATCTCTGTCTTCAGCTGTAGATCAATGCCTGCATTCATCCTACACACTTTACTGATTCTCTAGCTCAGCTGATGGAGGAAAAATCACTGATATACAGTACGACTGCTCTGGACTGTTGGATTGCATGCCGTTTTTCTTCATGCTTAACTTATTTTGCATTTCTAAGTAATATTCAGAAAAAATAGCTACAAAAAATCAATTGTTAAAAAATAACAATTAAAAACTAAATAAAATGTTATGTTAATTATAATATAAAAAATATATACACGCACTGGCCACTTTATTAGGTACACTTTATTAGTATTGGGTTGGACCCCCTTTTACCTTCAGAACTGCCTTAATAGATTCAACAAGGTACTGGAAATATTCCTCAGACATTTTGGTCCATATTGACATGACAGCATCATACATATATATATATATATTGACATTTTGGATTGTCAATCATTGTACTCTCACATTGTACACTTTTCATTATTATGTTGTATTAGTATAGTTATATTGTTTATAATATATGACATGTTCATGCTTAATAATAGTGTTTAAGAAATCAAAAATGTAGAAAAACAAACAAAATTTTAATGCTTGTTTCTACCTATTTTTTATATTAAATAATTTTCAGTTTCATCCATTATACTAGACAGCAGAATGCATAAAACATATTTTACTAAAATGTTAAATCCATAATCAATGGCAAATTTGAGCCTTTAAAAATGTTATTAAATATATCACTAATATGTTTGCAAATATTTTCATATGCTGTATTAGTATATATTTCTTTGTAATTTAACTCTAATATTATCAACATATACAGTTGAAGTCAGAATTTTTAGCCCTTGTTTATTTCTGTTTAACAGAGAGACTTTTTTAAACACATTTCTAAGCATAATAGTTTTAATAAATAATTCATTTCTAATGACTGATTTATTTTAACTTTGCCATGATGACAGTAAATAATATTTCCCTAGATATTTTTCAAGACACTTAAAGCTTAAAGTGACATTTAAAGGCTTAACTAGGTTAATTAGGTTAACTAGGCAGGTTAAGGTAAATAAACCATTGTTATACAATAACTTGCCTATTCTGTAGACTATCGAAAAAATATAGTTTAAAGGGGCTAATAATTTTGACCTTAAAATGGTTTTAAAAAAAATAAAAACTGCTTTTATTCTAGCCGAAATAAAACAAATAAGATTTTCTCCAGAAGAAAAAATATTATCAGACATACTGTGAAAATTTCCTTGCCTGTTTAAACCTCATGTGGGAAATATTTAAAAAAAGAAAGAAAAATGTGGGAAATATTTAAAAAAAGAAAGAAAAATTCAGAGGGGTGCTAATAATTCTGACGTTAACTGTATAATTTCCTAAATAATAGAAGTTTGAGACTTTTATTTTGTTATATATATATATATATATATATATATATACTATGATTTGATTGTCACATTTAGGACACATTATATATTGCTTATGGATGTAGGAGTGTTTTTTTTTTATCTCTCTGGTATTTTTTAAAAACTTGTATTATTATATTCATATTATTAATTAATATTTTTTTGTTTGTTTCTTTTCCTTGTTTTTATTTTCAGTGAAAAACACATACAGTTGAAGTCAGAATTATTTAAATTGTGAATTTAAATCAGAATTATTAGCCCCCCTCAGTTTTACATTTTTTTAAACACCATTCTAAGGTCAAAATTATTAGCCCCTTTAACCTTTTTTTTTTTTTTTTTTTTTTTTTCAACCAAACCATCATTATACAATAACTTTCCTAATTACCCTAACCTGCCTAGTTAACCTTATTAATTCCTAATTGATAATAACCTTATTCATTTACAGTCAAACTGGCTGGGACAAAATGAAGGCAAGGTATACTTGGACAATGAAACCAAAGAAGATGAAGTAATTATACAATAAAATACATTTTATTTTTACAAGTCATTTGAATAAACCATATTTATGACAAACTAATTATTATTTTCCTTTTAACAGTACTAAATTGCACATTTAGTGTCGACTATTACAGCTTAATCATGGATTTCAGCTGCATCCACTGTTTCTTCCTCGAAACCCAGTATTGGAAGTGCATTTTCTGCATGTGGCAGATATTGATCATCATCTTCCTGTAAATATGATAATCCTGACACGTTTTGAAGGCAACCTGCATTAGTGTTTTCTGTAACCGTTAATAATGTTTCCTCCAGTGTGTGGGAGGTGGTTCTTCAGTGTAATGCAGTGATGTGTGTGGAGTGTCCAGCTGCTTTGACCAGAGGAAGAGCAAATGAGAACGGCCCGTTGTTCAGGCTTGTGCTCATGAGATAAAGCAGGATTGTGTGAGAGCAGTGAGCTGTGCCTTCTGAACCAGTGTGCGCACACACACACACACACACACACACACACACACATATGCATCACATTTACACACACTAATGCTGATACAGGAAGAAAACCTGGATGTGTGCACTGCAGAATATTAATTATATATATATATATATATATATATATATATATATATTTTTTTTTTTTTTCTAACAAGTTGCAAAGTAAATATTTAATGTTTCTCTTTTACATTTATTTTGACATTAACCAGGGCTGCACGATATTGGAAGAAATGTGATATTGGGATTTTTTTTTTTGCTGCCATTTATATTATGAGTGTTTTATTTATTTTTTTCTAGATGATTTGAATGGCTCTATTGGAAAGATTTCATTCATTTAAATCGACTGGTATGATCAAGTCTTTTTTCTATGGAGTGCACTTTCATAAAATATAATAAATATTAATATAATAACAAATATAAAAAGTATGAATAGAAATATGACACAGCGAAAATAAAAGTGAAGTAAACAGTGCTTTTTGTTTAATGGAATGTGTAAAATAATTCAAGTACAGAAAGCCCCGTGTGAATGCACAGTTAGAGCCTCGATCGCAGAACACTTCGAAACATCCTTCAAAAGTTTGGCAGCCAAACTAGATAACATTTAATTCACGGTGGCTGATCATGATCTTCGCATCGGTAACCTCAAGTCTGGGACTATAAAAATTAACCACATAATAATAATAATATCCATAATAATAATAATAATAATAATAACTGCATTAAATAAATAAATAGTTGCGAAGGAAATGTTTCTCATTTGCATTTATCTTGACATGTTAATTAAAATAAAAAAATTTAAACTACGTAATTAATAATAAAAAATAAATACAAATGTTTTTAATTAGTTGTGAAGGAAATGTTTCTTAATTAACATGTAGCTTGACATATTAACAAAAACAAAAAATAAAACTAAATAAATAAAAATATTAATAATAGTAATAAAACTGTAAAGCAAATTTAAACTATAAAAAGTTAAGCTAAAATTTAAACGCAACAAGTTGCCAAGAACTTTTTTTTCTCATTTTTCATATAATTTAACAATCTATTAAATAAACTAAACTAAAATAAAATGACTGGATTGGCTAATCAGGAGGAACGGGAGGATTTCCGCTGGGCCAGTAAATTTTTTGGCCGCAAGAGCCAGTGTCCCTATCTGCCTGCACTCACAGCAATCGCACTTTTTTTCATTTATGTATTCCGCCAACTTATCCAGCATATGTTTTACGCAGTAGATGCCCTTCCAGCTGCAACCCATCACTGGAAAACATCCATACACCCTCATTCACACACACACTCATACACTACGGACAATTTAGCTTCCCCAATTCACCTGTACCACATGTCTTTGGACTTGTGGGGGAAACTGGAGCACCTGGAAAAAACCCAAACGAACACGAGGAGAACATGCAAACTCCACAGAGAAACGCCAACTGATCCAGCAGAGGCACAAACCAGCAACTTTCTTGATGTGAGGCGATCGTGCTACCCACTGCGCCACCGTGCGACCCTATTATTATTATTATTATTAATGATATTAATTTTAAGAGATTTTGAGAACTTATTAATTATAAAGATAAAATGAACACTGATATTAATATAAGTCTGTTGTGCTGAGTGTGTTGAGTGTTGTGGATGTTGAAGGCTGAAATGAAGAATAAATGCAGTGTAGGAGAGCCTGAGGGTGGCAGATCACTGAAGCATGACCAGCTGGATGAACAATAATGCCTGTATGTGTGCGCGGCTGGTATTCCCTACATTATTTCACATTCTCGCCAATCCTGATCGCAGAACTTTTGCAATATTATTTCAAATATTTATATATTAGTATCAGCATTAAAACAACTCTAATTTAGAACAACTAATGGGGTTTGTAAATGTAGATTAAACCACCGCAGCTTCTTGAGGATTATTGCTTTAATGGCTATGGAAAGTCCTGACAGTTGTACTTGTACTTACTGTGTGTGTATGTGTGTGTGTTGTGCAGGTGGAGCAGACCAGCAGGCCTGATCTTGTGCTATTCCTCATCAAGTATCTGATGGTGTTGGTGGTGGGCATCCCGTCAGTCTTCTGGGTGGGCAGTAAGAAGACCTGCTTCGAGTGGGCCGGTTTCTTCCACGGCCGCAGACGCAAAGAGTGAGTTTCTTCATCAGAGTGACGCTGTTCACTGGACAAAACACTCATTTAACACTAGCCGGGGCTTGAACCAGCGACCTTCTTGCTGTGAGGTGACAGTGCTAACCACTGAGCCACTGTGCTGCCGTGAAAAGACTTAAAAAGGGGAAATGTTTTATAGTTAGCATAAACCGGCAGAGACTTTTCAGTATGTTGATGTAGTTTGAACTGAAACAGAATATTAAGCAGGGGGCGGGGCTTTCTTAAGCACATCATTTTCTCATAGCAAACGAATGGTAAAATGGGCGTGGCTTTGAATATTGTAGCTGAAACATCATCAGTGAATGATCGCCACTCCTAACAGAAGCAGATGATTAGACAATCTGATTGAAGATTTACCAAAACAAGCATGTGTTTTCAGTGGATTCACTGGCACAGATTATGTTTACCCACAGCAGGGGTGGCCAAGCCTGTTCCTGGAGAGCCACCTTCCTGCAGATTTCAGTTGCAACCCATATTAAACACACCTGAACCAATTAATTAGGACCTGAACACCACGTGATAATTACAGGCAGGTGTGTTTGATATGGGTTGCTGCTGAAGTCTGCAGGAAGGTGGCTCTCCAGGAACAGGGTTGGCCACCCCGGACCTACAGAATACAGGCTCGAAATTGCGACCATTTTGGTCGCATATGCGCCCGAAAATTAATCGATGCGACCTCATAATATATTTGGGCGCATTAGTGCGACCTTTTTTGATTTTTTTTTAAACGTGCTGAATCGCTCTTCCCTGCCGCTATATTGGTTCATATTAGCTGTCAACCACACAAGGCTTTTCAAGGAGCTTTTATGTCCACGGGAAATGCAAACGGCTAAAGAGTGAAAACTTAAAGCACGCAGGTTTGCAAAGTGCAAACCCCACCTAAAGTTGAGGCGCAGATGAGAGCGATCATGACACGTGGTGAATATTGATCCGCCAGCTGAGATCAATCGAGTACGTGCTTTTCGGAGAAGGTGGCTGAATCTCGATGTGTTGCATTCACTGCGTGTTCAGCGCAAATGTCCGCTAAAAGTCAAATCTAATACTGTATCATCGCCAAAGAAGCTCGCCTTTACTAAGTTTACACTGAAACTGCGGCTCATAACAGAGAGCGGTATTGCGCCGATGCTCAACCTGCTCATAAATTGGGTCGGCTGACTCGCCTGCTTTTCTACAAACACAGAAAAATGAAAATCAGCTCAGACGGAACCTTTAAATTGACACAAACTGAAACCAAAACTTTTAAAGAGTGATAGAAGTGAGACTTTACTTACTTTCTTTTGCCTATTCTTTCTTGAGGTGTATATTATTTTTTTTATTTAGTTACTGATGACTGTTTTGCAGCTTTCAGCCTTGAATTTAATATTTTATTATAATGGATATTATGCTGCATATATATGCTGTTTAGCAGTACAAAATAAATATTTCTTACTGCAATGCTTCATTTTTGTTTGATGCAAATTATACATTTATTTTTCACAAAGTAACAGACTTTTTATAGCAGATAACCTACATTCAAACACATTCAAGGCAGCAAGATGATGACAAATGTAATTCAGTGTTGTTATTATTATTGTCATTTTCATCATCATTAATATTCTAGAATTATAATACATACACATTTTGGAATTATTGCACACAAATATCAATGTAATCCCAGCATTAGTTAGATAGTTGTTTCTGGGTTTTTTTAGTCCTAATTGATGTTGTTTTAAAATACAATAAATCCCTTAAAATACAATTTGCAGCGGTGCTCAATCATTTTTTCTGGTGCTCCTAAATTTTTTCTGGTGCTCCTAAATTTTTTCTGGTGCTCCTAAATTTTTGAAGTTGGGAGCACCGGTGCTACCAAGTAAAAAAAGTTAATTTCGAGCCCTGGAATATCAATGTGAGCTAGCAAAACAAACATTGTGCAGTTTGATTTGAGAGAGAATTTAGCAGTTTTAAGTGAACTGAACATCAAGTAAAGTTTAATATTAAACTAATTTCGAGAGGAGCACGTGCTCATGATCGACCCAGCTGGCCCAAATTAACCAACCATGATCCTCCAATCATAGGATCCCAAGTCACTATGTATATCCTCATTTCCTTTCTACAACAATCTCCTTTTGGAACCCCCCCAAAAGGCACTAGGATGCCTTGAGCTCAGGTCTCTCTCCCGAGACAGCATGCCAAACAAGCTCTTTGTAAATCATGAGCTAAGTGTGAGTTCTAGAACTGAAATGTGTAACTTCACTGCATTAGGTGGATTTGGATATTGCATGAATGTAAAGTGTGTGCTCTGTGTTTGTGTGTGTAGCAGCGGTGCCGTGCACGAGAGCCGGCAGGTTCTGCAGGATCCCGACTTCGCTCAGTCTCTCCTGCGGGACCCCAACACCCCCATCGTCCGCAAGTCTCGCGGGACGTCCACCCAGGGCACCTCCACACACGCCTCCTCCACACACCTCGCCATGCTGGACGACGTGCGCAGTAAAGCCAGCAGCGTTCACAGCAAGAGCAGCTTCCACAGCAGCCTGCAGCGCTCCAGAGACGAGAGGTCAGACAAACACACACACATACTGTGCGTGCGTGCATATATATATATATATATATATATATTTGAAGTCAGAAGTATTAGCCCCCTTTGATTTTTATTTTTTTCTTTATTTAAATATTTCCCAAATGAAGTTTTTCAGAGCCAGGGAATTTTTCCAGTATTTTCTATAATATTTTTCCTTCTGGAGAAAGTCCTATTTGTTTTATTTCGGCTAGAATAAAATATGTTTTTATTTTTTAAACACCATTTTAAGGTCAATATTAAGCTATATATTTTTTCCCGATAGTCTACAGAACAAACCATCATGATACAATAACTTTTCTAATTACCCTAACCTGCCTAGTTAACCTAATTAACCTAGTTTAGCCTTTAAAGAGCCCATATTATACATGAAATAAGGTCATATCTTGGTTGTAAGGGTCTCCAACAACAGTCTAATATGCATGCAAGGTCAAAAAACACTTTCATGGTCTTATAATCTGCATTTATTTTTATCTAATTATCCCAGCGACTCCTGTATGAATCGTCCAGTGATTCATTTGTTCCCAAACCCCTCCTTAGCGCGGAGCTAATCTGCGCTGATTGGACCGATGACAGTCTGTCGTGATTGGTCGACTGCCTTCAGTCAGAGAGGGAAATGGCCAATAGCTAATCAGCAATTTAAAAAGTAATCACAGTTCATACACGCTCGATAGTGTAGGCGTGGACTTTAGCTGCCACACTATGGCGAGTGGATAGTGCCACGGATAACCGAACGAAGGAGACAGTCGTGTACTCGCCATACCACACACACACACCTCCGGATGACAACGCTCCCGCTTCAGCCCGCACCCGCCAGGTTTTAGCCTGAGAACCCGCTCCGTTTTCTGCCCGCCGCGCCCGGTCCCGCTAGAGCGGAGAACACAACCAAATATCACCCAGTATACAGTCCAGACAGCCAAGCTGTCTGTACACACACAGCACAAAGTACACAAAGCTCGTTCGTTCGTTCGTTCGCTCTCTCTCTCGCTCTCTCTCTCTCTCTCTCTCCCCGCGCCAGATTTCTGCGGCGCGGGAATAAATTTCCGAATAAATCGCGGGAGCAGAACTCTAGCATGGAGCTCCATAAACAAACAGCACGCGTGGCGTTTTTAACGTGACTTTGCACGCGATAAGATAATATATCCAGTTAACCTGATACAGTACACGCGGTTACAAGTAACAAATCACAACTAAATACATTTGCAAGCTAGAGTAAACGAGGCAACAACTTTAACCGCACGTACTTACACTTGAGAAATGTAGGAAGAAACCCATCCTGACGTCCATCAGTTACTCTTTACTGATCCTTCCTTTAACAAACTCAGATGAAGTATTCTTTGTAGCATGTAGCTTCCAGAAGTTTCCAACTGCTTGGTTATAATGCTGATGTTTCATCTTTGGGTAGAGACTCAATATATCCATCTGCAGTGTGACTTCAATCGACCGGCATGTTTGTGTGCGTGTGTTTGTGGGTGTGCGTGTGTTTGTGGGTGTGTGTGTGTGTGTGTCTGGGTTACTGCGTCAGAGGGCGGGGCCTCAGGTTTGAAATCTCCCGGGTTTGCGCGTGCACGTGAAAAACTTTGTTTCGTTCGTACGTCATGGCGAAACACCTAATGAGTCGGTATCAAGGCGACTCGTTTGAAGCACTATGATTCGACTCTTTTATAGATGAATCAACAGTTTTAAACACTGTATTCTTACAGATTTAAGCCTTAGCTGGATACTTCACTTCACTTAGAGCTGTGTTACACACTACATGGAGGGGAATTTTCAAAAACCCATAATATGGGCTCTTTAAATGATAAAGTATGAAAAATATCTAGTCAAATATTATTTACTGTTATCATGACAAAGATAAAATCAATCAGTTATTGGAAATGAGTGTTTGAAACTATTATGATTAGAAATGTTGAAATAAATCTGCTCTTCAGTTAACAGAAATTGGGGGAAAAATAAACAGGGGGCGAATAATTCATGAGGGATAATTGTGTGTATGTGTGTGTGTGTGTGTGTGTGTGTGTGTGTGTGTGTGTGTGTGTGTGTGTGTATTATAAATTATAAAGAAAAATAAGTATTGAACACATCATGTTTTTCCTGGGAATAATATTTCTAAACGAAATGTTGACATGGAATTGAACCAGATCTTGGTAAAATCCCAAACAATACAAAAAAAAAAAAAACTTGAAAAAATTGTTATGTGTAATTAATAATGACACAAGAATAATAATAATAATCACAAAAATGACACAAGTAGAAAAAACTGATTTACTGAAATGGATTTAATACTTCATATACAAGGCTTTTTTGGTGACGGCAGCTTAAAGACGCCTCATATGGAGAATAAAGTCACATGCATTGCTCAGGTGTGAGTTTTTTCACAGACTTCAACAGAGTGTAAAAATCTTGATGGTTCTGTGGGTCTCGTCTGTCAAATCTGATCTTTATTTTGTATTCTCTATCGGATTCAGGTCAGGTGATTGGCTGGGCCATTCTACAATTTGATTTTCTTTCTCTGAAAGCATTTGAGAGTTTCCTTGGCTGTGTTTTGGATCATTGTCTTGCTGAAATGTCCACCCTGGTGTCATCTTCATCATTCTGCTAATGTAGATGTTGGACAGATAATATTTATTTACACTGAGGAAGGGCAGAGGGTTGCTGAAGAACTACTGAGAGATTTCAGCTGCTGCCTGGGCTTTCACTGCCTTTCTACACCTCCCTTTCTTCATGTGTTCAATACTTTTTCCCCCAGTCACTTCATTTAATTACACATAACTTCATTTGTAATCTGTATACTTTAGTTTTCTTTGCATATATGGATTTCTTTGGTTGTAATCAACATCTGGGGAAATTTCATGTCAACAGCACTTTTAGAAATATGGTTTCAGAGAAAAATGAGGACGTGTTGAATACCCCACTGAGTGTATGTATACAGTTAAAGTCAGAATCATTTATTAGTTAATATTATTTATTAAAGAATTATTCTTGTTTAATTTTAATCCCTGTATATTTTCGCCAAGTTCCATTTAACAGAGATACAATTTTTCCAACAAATTTTAAAAACATAATTACTCAATTATTCTTTTTCATAATTTTAATAACTCATTTCCAATCACTGATTTATTTTCTCTTTGCCATGATGACAGGACATTATAACTGACTAGATATTTTCAAAATACTAGTATTCAGCTTAAAGTGACATTTAAAGGCTTCCCTAGGTTAATTAGGGAAGTTAGGGTGGTTTGAAACAGTGGTTTGTTCTGTAGAAAAAATATTGCTAAAGAAGGCTAGTGACCCTTAAAATGGTTCTTGAAAAATTAAAAAAACTACTTTTATTCTAGCTTAAATAAAACAAACAAGACTTTATCCAGAAGAAAAAATATTATAGCAAATACTGAAAATTTCCATGCTTCATTAAATTTCACTTGATAAATATTTTTTATACATATATATACACCTTTTCCCATCATTTTAAACTAATGCATTCATTTGCAAATATTTGTCATCATCCTTTTACTTCCTGTAATTTTTCTCCACAGATCTCTCTCTCTTTCTCTCTCTTATCTTCATTCCTGCACTGTTATTTTGTTGCTGATCTCCTCATGCAGTCGCACGAGTGCAGACACGTCCAGCTGCAGCTTTAAAGAAGCCTCAGCTTTAATAACCCGAGCAATATCGTCTTCTTTTCTTTCCTCTGTCTGATCACAGGTTCACCTCATCCACCCACAGAGGCCTGGAGGAGCGTCCGGCGTACGGGAGTCTGCCCAGACTCACCGATCAGCAGCCGTCCCGCCACAGCAGCACTCCAGAGCTGAGCCACACGCCAGCCGTCAGCGAGAGCCAACAGGAGGAGCAGGAGCAGCCGGAGAACGGGACCAGTGCGTAACACACACACCTGCGGCTCACACTTTTAACAGCAGAGGAGAAATTTTTGCAGGAGTAGAAAACATGTCTTTCAGGAACATCAGTAAAATCGTAGACTTTTAACCGGTCAGATGTGCGAGTGTGTGTGTGTGTTTTCTCTGGTACTGTGAAGGTGTGCAGGATGAAGTTTACTGCATGTTTTAAAGTCCTGCCGTATCACTGAGAATGGAGATTTGTCTTCACACAGCCCTGTTGATTGAAAGTTAATGGATCATCCACTCTCAGACTATCAGAGATCCTCTTTCAGACCAGAGTCTTGTGTTTGTTCGGATGGAGAAACGATGATGCCGAATCCTCAACAACACCTGATGTGCTTTGTCCAGTCGCTCGCCGGCTGCCTACCTCAACACATCTGCAGATTATGACCACACGCTTCTCATCTCAGACCCTGCACCACAAAACCAGCCAGAACGGACAAATCTTTGGAAACTGAGATCAATGCATCATCTGAACACTAAACACATGAGCTTTCTGTTGATGTGTGGTTTGTTGGAATATGATCACGCTGATTTGTAACTTGGGGTGGCTCAATGGTTAGCACTTTCATCTCACAGCAAGAGGGTCACTGGTTCGAGTCCTAACTGGACCAGTTGGCATTTCTGTGTGGAGTTTGCATGTTCTCCCAGTGTTGGCATGGGTTTTTCCAGACACGCGCTATAGGGGAATCCAATAAACTAAATTAGCCCTAGTGCATGTGTTATTTAGTGTGTATGGGTATTTCCCAGAACTAGAAGGGTATCCGCTGTGTAAAACATATGCCTGATAAGTTGGTGGTTCATTGCACTGTGGCAATCCCTCATGAATAAAAGGACTAAGCCGAATGGATGAATGACAATTGTCCATAGTGTGTGAGCATGAGAGTATATGGGTTTTTCCCAGTACTGGGTTGCACCTGGAAGGGCATCCGCTGCGTAAAACATATACTGGAATAGTTGGTGGTTCATTCTGCAGTGGCAACCTCTGAAATAGAGACTAAGCTAAAGGAAAATGAATGAATTTTAACTTTGATTTAGTGGTAGTAATAAGTATGATTTGCTCATCCCCCAATAAGGGTTGGGTTTAGGGGCGGGTTTTGGTGCCACACCTCCTTAAAAAAATATAAAATAAATTTAAAAAAAGGCACATTTTTGTATGTATGAATTTGTACGAATTATCCACTAATATGAATAATGAGAAAATCACATTTTAAATTGAACAAGTTAAGTTCTTATCAATGTGTACTATTGCATATTATGTGTGTATTAATAGTATTGTATTCATCAGAAATTATTGATCTAGTTACTGTAGTTCATTCACAAAATTTTATGGAACATCTTCAATTAATATTCATTCATTGGGCTTAGTCCCTTAATTATCAGGGGCCACCACAGTGGAATGAACCGCTAACTACTCTGGCATATGTTATATGTAGTGGATGCCCTTCCAGCTGCAACCCAGTAATGGGGAAACACCCATACACACTTGCATTCTCACACATTACAGGCATTTTAGTTCATCCAATTCACCTACAGCGCATATGCATTTGGACTGTAGGGGAAACCCACACCAACATGGGGAGAACATGCAAACTCCACATAGAAATGCCAACTGACCGAGCCAGGACTCGAATCAGTGACCTTCTTGCTGTGAGGCGACAGAGCTAACCAGTGAGTCACCGTGTAGCCTTTAATAATATAATAATGATTTTTGGCATAAAAGAAAATCTTAATTATGAACCAGATGATGTATTCTTGGTTTAACCCATTCATCATCAGACTGGTTTTTTTGAAGTCCAGGGTTACTTATTACAGAATTGAGCTGAAATCATCTGAGTTTCTGCTCTTGTGTGTGTGTGTGTGTGTACAGTATATGTGTACAGGAGTCTTAAGCTTTGTAAATGGTGCTTCTTTCTGATGTTGCTTCATGAATATTTCAGCCGGCTGTTTGTGGCTCCTGCACAGGCCGTCTGAAATATGCACTAAAACTGAACATAAAGATCCGCTGTGATGTTAAGAGAAGGGTTCACCCGTAAATGAATGTTCGCTGTTGAATTGGCTCTCCCTCAGGCTGGTGGAGATGTAGGAGTTGACCTGCAGGCCTACTTCAGCACTGTGTAGAAGATTAAATGCTGAATGTTTAGAGTTTTTCTCCTCTAAGGGCTTATTTTGTGGTCTCTGTCGCCATCTTGTGGCAAAACATCAAATGTCTGTGCTCTGCTCAGTATGACAGGTAGATGGCCACCGACTCGCTGTATCTCAGACATGCTAAATATTTCAAATAGGCACTATCCTTATAATAAACTGCAGAGTTGCAATGATGTTGTCCAACAGCTGCAATATTTGCCAGACTGTAGTGAGTTTATTGATCTGCTGTCACTCTGTGTGGGCGGAGGACACGGAGTACATCAGATCACTTTATGCAAACACCCCAGCTCACATTGCAGACTAATTGCTATGACGATTGTGTCTGCCCTGACTTCAGACACGCTCTTAGTCAAGCGTTGACACTGAAGCTCTTTGTGAACAGTAAGTGCTGTTATTGCAGAATATTACACAGCTATCTGCCAATCAGATTCGAGAATCAAACAGAACTGTTTTATATATATATATATATATATATATATATAAGATCATGCGGCATATGTAGTTTATAAATAGTAATAAGCAATAAACTAATAGTAATAAATAGCCAATATCTTCATAGGCAAGTAAGAGTTCATAGTGAAAATTGGTACTTTTTAACTGACAGACCTGTTTGAGGTTATTAATAAGTATTTACTTTAGTTGAGCTCATCTGTTTGTATTTATTCAACTAAATCAATCAAATTTGTCTTGATTTCATGTGGAAAAACTACATTACCCATGGTGCTGCACTGATAGGTTGACTATCAGAGAGCAGCAGTGAACACGTGGAAAAAATGAAGTGAAACAACTGATCATTTTCTGCCTCCTGCATCTGCTGAATCAGCGATGAGCACAGTCATTCATGTAATAATGTACAAATCTGGAAAAAAAAAAAGTAATCTATATCTCGGCTAGCCTGAGAGTGCATTAACAGCTAATATTCATTTGTGTGAACTTTCCCTTTAAACTGTAACCTGGATGTGGCTGATCTGTGGACAGTTGCATAAACCACGTGGACTGGTCTTAAAGTTAGTCGTGTGTTTTTTTTATTATTTATTTTCTCCTCCTTGAAGCCTGGTCATAATTTTGCATTGGCTCAGTTCAGGTCTGATCAGAACATGCTCAATTTGTATCAATGAATCGAGTGGCATCACTAATCAAATGTGCACTGTGGCAAACCACAAGGCTCAGTTCTTGCTCCCTGTTTGCATTATCTTACATGCTATGTGAAATCATACATTTGTTTTTAGTTTGTTTTACTCAGTTATGCAGATGATGTGCAATCATACATCTTATCACAACCTGATATTTTGATTGAGTTCACAAAACAGATTGTATAGCTGATAATAAAAATTGGATCACTAAGAACTTTCTATTACAAAAGGAAGGGCATCCACTGCGTAAACAAATGCCAGAATCTTTGGTGGTTCATTCGGCTGTGGTGATTTGGGATAAATAAGGGACTAGGCCGGAGGAAAATTAATAAAAATATAAAAAAGCAAGGGACCAAGAACTGAGCCTTGAGGTACTCCACAGTGTACTCTTGATTGAAATGATGCTTCATTTGTTGGTGATAGCACCACAAAAACATGGAGTTAGTTTCTACAGTTATCTACTCACAATCTGCTCATACAAATTCACAAAATTAGTGTATAGCTGATATTAAAAATGTAATGACTAATAACTTTCTATTACTAAATTCAGGAAAACACTGGTCTTGTTTATTGCATGAAAAACCTAGAATGCTGTCTAATCCATAACAAATGTTGAAGACCACCTTTCAATCATCCATCAATTTGACAAAAGTTTTGAATCTAAAATGTAAGATTGCTTGTTACCTAACTGCTAGTTAGTCGTACTAGTTCTTAAGACAGTCTGGATATATGAGTTTCTGCAACTGTCCCTGATCTCAGCTCAGTTTTCCGCTTTAAAAGTGAAGTGTGTGTTTGTTTACGTGTTGATGAGATTCCAGTGGTACTCAGTGCCTCGATCTGTGACTTTGGACCTGAGCTTTGTAAAAGCTGTTTTTCTGATGGCCGTTACTGCTTCTGCCTTCAGTTTCTTTCCCTCCTGACCTTCAGTCTCGATTCTTCTGTCCGCTTGACTAATGAGAAACAATACAGCACTTTAACTGTGGCGTTCTGTTGAATGTGTAGAGATGAAATGCAGTCATTTAGCCAGATTTCAAATAAAGCTTTTGATCAAATAAAACAGGCCTGATTTATAGATCCCCATTTTATTGAAATAGTCTGAGCATGTGAAGTGTTCTCCAAACCAATACAAATAAACAGAATTCCACCTTAAATACATTTGTGCAAATAAAAAAAAATAAGAAAAAAATAAGGGAAATGGTCTACGCTGCAGTATTGGGGGGAATAATATCACATCCCGACCACTCAACTCCACACAGCTCAATAAAATACAATAAAAATCCAGCCGCACAGTCCTTAAAACAAGTGATTACACCTATGACATGCAAAAATCTGTACACAGTCTTACAAAAGTCTAAAATCAAGAGGAAGAAACGATATGATGATGTGAAGGAGCAGTTCACTAACAAGGCCAACAAAATCCTCCAAGAGTGAATGTCTTTATCAAAAGTCTCCAGTCGTGTCCTCTCGTTCTAGTTCATTCTACACTGATCTAGGAAAACTAAGGCACCTCCCGCTCTAATATATTGATCTATTCGTCTCTAAGTAACAGTCCTACTGATCAAACAACCGTCGCTCTCCACGCAACACATATAATCATTGGTTCTGACATACCTGAGATCATTTCAAACAGGCGACCTGTTCATGTTAATACCATAACCCTGGCAAAGAGATTCTAACCCGTTACAGCCTTATTAGAAAGAAGAAACAACAAAAACAACAACCTGTATCATGACTAGTGATTTGTGTTTGGAAATAAACATGAGGAAGGAATAGAGCTAATGCATAACTAAAGGTCCCGAGAGCAAAACAACAATA